CAATAGCATCAGCAGGAAAATCATAATGTTGATCAGGATTTATTTGTTTTCTATTTACCATAGCATAATGTACATCATCATTTAATATTAAAGGAGCCGATGATGATGATGATGATGGTGGAGTTCGATGAATTGGAATTGATGTAAACGATCGATCAGAATGTGTAGGTGAAGATGATGATGATGCACCAATAAATTGTACTGGTATGTCACGAATACGATTTGAATTAGTATCATGATTTTTTGATGAATAGTCAATTTGTTGTTGTTGTTGTTGTCGATGATCAATAATAAGATCAGGTATATGTTCTGTATTTATTTTTGGTATAATTATTTTTTGTTTATCATGCATTAAATCTGGTTGATATGTTTCATCATTAAATTGTTCATTTTGTCTTATTGATTTTGTTGTTGTTGTTGTTGGTGCTGCTGCTGCTGCTGTTGTTAATGATATTGTCGTACGTGCTGCTTCTTCTTCTAATGTTTGAAACATTTCACGTGCTTTACGAAAACGTATTGTATGATCTTCATTTGTATTATTATTATTATGAATTGTTGTAGTTGTTGTTGTTGTTGTTGTTGACGATGAATTTTCATTCATTGTTAATGATGACATACCATTACGCAATGAATTCATATTTGATATATTTGTATCAAGTATACGTGGATTGGATAAACTTCTACTACGTTCAATAATTGTTGATGATGATGTTGTTGCTAATGGTAATGATAATATTGGTGGGGATAATGAATTTTCATCAGCACCATCAGCAATACCACGTGTTGGGGATGTCAAACCTTGATGATGATTGCAATAACGCGATCGATGTTCTCCTGGTTTCAAATCGTTCAATGTTAATGCATATTGAGTAAATACACTACGTAATCTGCTCACATGACCTATATATTTATTAGTATTATTCGAATTGTTACTGTTGTCATGATTATTATTATTTGGTGATGTACGACTATGATGAATTGTTGTATTGTTATTAGAATCTGCCGTTGGCGAATCAACGATAAGATTTGATGCTGATTCAGTATGGGTAAAAAGAGAAGGTACAGCTGGTTGGATGAGGATGTCCGCCATTTGCTCTTTTTTTTTTTTTTTTCTTTCTGTTATCGCAATTTTCTTCTTCTTCGTTGCTTTCTTGTAAATATATATCGGTTGCTAATGCTTGCCGCCTGTCGTAATATTTCTCGTTTAGTTACTAACAACCGTCCCACCTATCAATCACTAATAGTAGAGTTTTAGTCTTTGTTCTGGAAGATATCGATATACCAGTAACAATAAATGATAATTAACCGATGCATTAGAAATCATAATATTAATAAGACAAAAGAGAGATTTTAATAAAAAGAAATTAAAGAGAAAATGAATATCTAAATATAGAAAAAAAATCAGAATGTTAAAAAAAACGTTTTTTTTTTCTCTGATTACTATCACAGAGAAAAAGGTCAATTGTGAAAGAAAAGATGTTTATCGGAAGATAAATGAGGCAAACTATTGACATTCTACCCCATCACATATAAGAAAAAAAAAAGAGAAAAAAAGAAAGAATACCGACCAGTGGACTAGTCTCGATTGTATATATTTACAATCGAGAGACAAAGAAACGAATGAACAAATGTCCAAGGACAACAAACGACAATGATCAGAAGAAAAAAAAAAACCAATCATATTTATGCTCTTTAAGACAATTAGGAAGAATGAAAAAGAATGAAGAGGTATTCATTACAATTGTTGATGTATTGCAGATGATACATTCATTCGAAATCCAAACACACAAAAAAAAAAAAAGGTCGTCAATCAATGGACATCCGTTTGACCATAATCGATCGATCGATTTGCCGTCAGCGACGAGTAATGTGCGTTGGAGAAGAAAAAAAAAAGTAAACATGATAGCTAATTTGTTGAGTAGGAGCGCCAATCATGCAAGTTTTTGTTTTCATCAATATCAGACTCATACGACCTCTACCCATAAACTTGATCACATGTCATTATATTTGCAATAGATTTTTTTGAGTAACCATGATTCAACCAAAATAATCTATAGAAATATTGTTTTTTTGTTCTGAGGGAGAACAGAACGCAAGAAAAGCAAATTATTGCTCTTTGAGGATAAAAAAATAATTTTTAAAAGTAAAGAAGAGGTCATTCACTAGCTTTTATGCGACATACGTATTTTGTTTTATTTGTCATAATCCTTTGAGTACCATCATATAAGAAAATATTTGCTTTTCATTCTTATCTTCATTATCAGTTATATCCATTGTTTCTATTTATAGATTATTTCTTTAACATAGTTTCAAATGTAATTATCTGTTACAAGGTCGTTAGATTTATTTTTAGTGTTATCTATACTTAGTAACAAAATTTTTTTTTTTTCTCTCTAATAGTCTAGAATACAGTTTTAATCTTCATTATGATCATTAAATATACGATGTCCTTAGTTTTTTTTCTTTCGGTCTAATGCCAATAGTACTAGTAGAAAAGAAAATCCTATGTAATAAGGAACTATAAATGTCACGCAACCATATTGCGACGATGTTACTACTAAAAAAATCGTCATCCTTGTTGTCACTAGAGAGTTCTGTAAGTGTTGTAGCAAAAAAAAACAAGACAAAGAATAAAAAGAGAAAGAGAAAAAAGAAAGAAGAGAATATAAATTTGATCATCTCTCTTCTAAGCTGTGCTCGCGTGTCTTCGGCGGGTTCGAAGTAGTAGATGCTTAAATGACGAAAACGTGAAAAAAATATACTACGTTACAATAGCACTCACATTTGTTGCTATTTTTAGCTCCGTTCCTTTTTTCTTGTTTTCTTTTTTTTTCCTCTTTTTCTCCTCTACTCAATGCATATGTGTATTTGCATCAGGATATGACAGAATGTCGTTCTTGATGCTTATTTCTAGGTCTATATTTTCTTTGTTTTGCGACCGAATTCTTTTACATTAGTTGTCTCGATGTTATATTTATAAGTAAACTATTAATTGATGATAAGTTTTTGTTTAAATGGAAATTTATTGATGGTAAGAGTCTTTCCAAAGGTCGTTTTTTTTTTGTTCTTTCTATCTTTAAAATGAATCCTATAAGAATAACCTTACTATAAATATCATTGATACTATTTACATGCGATTAGACATATTCATACAATTGTTCAAGAAATTTTTCATACATTGTATTGATTTATCTGAAGTTTATTCTCATTGGATTACAAAATTTTATCTATTGATATATAAAAACATGAGATTATAATAGGAAATAATGAGAATTTTAGGTACATCGGCAATTATCGCCTTAGGGTCAAGACTTAATATTCTTAGCAGACAGAAATAGCAAGGAAAAAATAGGATGCTTGATGAATATCTATTGAAAAGCGGAAAGAATAATACATCGTGTCGTTGTGAATTCCTTTAATAAGAAAAAAAAAAAGAAAGAAAGAAAAGTTTGACAGTAGATAATAGTCAATGTACTACTACTCTACTAAAGATATTATGAAGCAAACAAAAATAGACATAATATGCAATCAACACCTTTGCGAATCGTCCATGATATCTATATATAGTAAAACACATGATGAAACAGACAGCTATAACATCAACAAAAATAACGTCCACGCAATCAATAAAAATAAGCAAGAAAAAGAACAGGTGAGATTCATTATGTGACTAATGTCGTAGTAATTCAAAAAAAAAAAGAACTAAAATTGATACTTCAAAAATCTCTTTTTCTTTTCTCTTCTGAACGAATGCCTAGCAGTTGGTGATTATTTTTTTTCTCCTTCCATTCTTCCTGTTCGTGCAGAATTTTATGTCCTCTTGTGACTATTATTATTTTTGCTAAGGCATTCATTTATTCATTCTGTTCGTCTTTTCTCATTTTTTTTCTCTCTATTCATTCATAATAAAAAAAACCGACAAGAGAAAAAGGTATATATATATTTAAATATATATATATATACGTCTTGTTTTTGTATTTCATTTATAAGAAAAAGATATGAGATGCAGTATGTGTCTACTACTTTAGAATAGAATAAATTTCGTTATGTCATGTTAAGCATGCTCTTATATATGTACGAGCAATATAGTCAAACAAAGTTTTATATTAAATAACTACTTAGAGAGTGTTGTTGTTGTTGACGAATGCGATTGTGCGCACCTGCGAAAGAGAAAGAGAGCTGTCATTGCAACTTAAGAGTAGGGGGAGGGGCCGGGTGATGTACTTCGATGCATATTTTTGCATTTTTTTGTAAGTTGACCAATAGCGGTAGAAGTAAAGATTGAAGAACACGATCAATTCAAGTAGAGTAAGGCGTATGAAATAAGTGAAACATAGTTTTTATTATATGGTCGCAACAGTCTCTTTTCGTTCGAAATTTTTTTATGTACGTTTTGAATAACAATAGAAAGCAAAGCAAAGTATTTTTGATTAAACTAATGAGAGCGAGAAATAATGGAGATCTATCAATGTTAACGATTGAGAGACATAAAAAAAATAGGTCATAATACTATCTCAGTGCATTATATGTCAGATAAAATGACATATTCGTTTTAATAAACGATAATAAATCAAAATGATTAGATAAATAGAAGCTTTTGTTTTCTTATGTACTGTTAGTTATTTAAATCCAAACAACCTTTATTAACCTTATTTGGGAGTAATATATTTTTTGTCATGCTTCAGCTTTTTTTTTTATCTTTTATTTTTTCTCCCCCTCAAGTTTTTTTCTTTTTATTCATCTCGTATAAAAATAGAAAAATGAGATACCCAAAGACACATAGAACGAAGAGGAAAAGAAAAAAAAATACTTCAACTAAAGTCAACTGACAGACATAGATAAAGCAAACTAAGAGTAGCTTCTGTAAAGGAATGTTTCATTTTTTTTCCTTTTTTCTTTTTAATTACTATTCTCATCTTAACCACAATTCTTGTTTTTTTTTTTTTGTCATTACTGATTTTTCTTTCTAGAAAAATATTTTACAAACAGAAGAATCTTTCATGGTTGACCTCTGTCGACACTCAACTTTATCCACCAATAACACGCTGGGCTCTCCTAATAGTACAAATGATGCAAATAACGGAAGTTCAAATTTCTTCCCATCATTATTCGTACGTCTTAACTTCGATATACGAAAAAAAAAACAAGCGTTATCATTTTTTTTTTCAATATTTATTTCAGCTTCCTTATTCACAACTGATTGACCCTGATAGACAAGAATCGGTTACAGCAGCCATAGCAGCTGCAACAGCTGCTGCTGTAATGGCATCATCAGCCATGGAACGAACACGTCTCGAAGAAGAAAAATTACGTGTTCAAGCTAAAGATAAAAAAGATCAAAGTAATATTGATTAATTTTTCATATTTCTTACAATGCAGAGATAACATATTTGTATTTTTTATCTTTTCAGGTGCAAATGCATCGGCCGAGGTTAAAACTCATTTAAAAAGTTTTATATGTCGAAAATTACAAAAAGAAGGCAAACTAGGGTAAATTAAAAAGTTTTTCAAAAGAAAATAACCAATCAATCAATAACTATTTTGAAAATTTATGTTATAGAAATCAAGAATCGATCGAAATGTTGAGACGATTTCAATCAGAACCTGCACTTGCTAACCCACGTCTCGAATCAGGCAATTTTAAAATAAAATCCGATTTACGTCAAAGTATCCTTCATCGCCATCGGCATGTTACACCAATGTCAGATAAACGCCATCCAATACGTTCAACTACTCTAGTTGAAAAACAGAAACACGCTAGTACGTATCAAATAAACATCTAAAAAGTACTGAAATTACAACAGCACAAAGAAAAACTGCTTTGATTTTCATTAATATTCTATGAAGGTTATTTTTAGTACAAAAAAGAAGAAAAAGAAGCACGCCTTTTCTTAACGGAATTCCACTAAAATAAAGATAGATCCTTTACTCTTGGTAGAAAGTACTATTTTTAATAATCTTATTTCTATTCAATTATCGAACTAAAACTATTAATACAATGTAGCATGTCACCTATATTGTTACAGGAAAAAAAGAATAGAAAGAGAATTTATTTCTATTTTTAGCCCCACCTATTCCGATAATGTCATTTGATTCTCAAACCGGTCAAATACCTCCGCCGGAGCAATTATGGTTTGATTTGAATGATTTACAGCAGAAACTCTATAGTTGCTATTCAACAGGTAAATTATTTATTTCATCTAAATTAAAAGACATAAAAAAATTTTTTTGTTTTGGTTATTATTTAGGTTCTATTAGTGGAACTAATAATGGTCAACGAAATCATTTAAATCTTATACATGGTAATCAACATCGTACAAATATTCTTGGTCCAAAACATTTTATAGTGGAAGAAGAAAATGAAGCATTATTAGCTAAAGAATTACAGGAAGCAAAAATTCAAAGTCCTTTTAATAGTCATAGTTCCATGCATAGTAGTCAACCACAAATATTTAATTTTGAATCCAATGACTTCAATAATAAAAATTCAAATGTAATAAAAAGAATAAGAATTTTTCTTTAAATAAGAAGATTTCTCTTTTATCGTATTTTTATTTTCTATATAGTCATCAACAGACCGTTTAGCATTGCATTCCAAATCATTATCATCTTTATCAGCCATAGCATCACCAACAGATAATAAACTACAAAAAAATCTTTCCGATTTAACACGAATGCGTTTTACTACTGGTAAGATTAATCTAATCTTGTTTTTTTTTCCTGATTTTATTCATTTTTTGTTTATTAAAACAAAAGGAGTTGTTTATGATGAAGATTCATTAAAACATGAATGTTATTGTAAACGTACAGATCTTCATCTTGAAAATCCTCGTCGTTTACTTGTTATTTATGAACAATTAAAAAAATGTAATTTATTAGATGATTGTGAAATAATTCATAATTATTGTGCAACGATTGATATATTAACTGATTGTCATGAGTGAGTAGAAGAAAAAAACAAAACAAAATTTTAAAAAGAAAGATTTATTATAATTTTTTTTTAATTTTTAGTCCTACTCATGTTTATTTATTTGGTTGTGATCAACGACAACGTACACAACAATCGGCAATGCTATTAACTCAACGACTTAATTCAATTGTACAATTACCATGTGGTGGTTTTGGTATTCATGATGATACTGATACAATATGGAATGAACTATATACAGCACGTGCATGTCGTTTAGCTATTGGTAATACCATTGAACTATCAAAACATGTTTTTGATGGAAGATTAAAAAATGGTTTTGCACTTGTAAGACCGCCAGGTCATCATGCAAGAGAAAAACCATTAGGTTTTTGTTATTTTAATACTGTTGCTATAACAGCTAAATATTTAAAAAAACATCGAAATATTGATCGTATTGCTATTGTTGATTGGGATATACATCATGGAAATGGTACACAAGATTTAACATATAATGATCCAAATATTCTTTATATATCATTACATCGTTATGATAATGGAACATATTTTCCTGGTGGTGGACGAATTGAAGAAGTTTGTTGAATAAATAAATAAATAAATAAAATGACAAAAAAATAAAATTCTTTTTAGTGTGGATGTGATGATGGTCTCGGTAAAAATGTGAATATTGCCTTTTCTGGTGAACCACAATCCGTTATGACAGATGTAGAATATTTAGCAGCATTTAGGTAATTAAACTATTTCAATCGAAATTGATAACATATGACTTATTTTTGTAGAAGTATTGTTATGCCAATATTAGAACAATTTCAACCCCAAATCATTCTTGTTTCAAGTGGCTTTGATGCTTGTATGGGACATCCACATCCACTTGGTGGTTATGAATTAACACCAAAATGTAATAGAAAAAGAAAAAACAAGAATTTATTTTGTTGAATATTTTCTCTATTTTTTTTTTTTTCTTCATTCTATTTTAGGTTTTGCTTATATGACAAATCAATTGATGAATCTTGCCGATGGGAAAGTTGTTTTAGTTTTAGAAGGTGGTTATGAATTAAATGCATTAGCTGAATGTGGAAAATTATGTGTTGAAGCATTACTTGGTCGAGAAGTAAGATAGCTTTTTTTTTTCGTTGTATTAATTCATAAAATATTTCAATAATTTTCTATTGAATTTAGTTACCATCATTTAGTAAAGAAACTCTTGAAGCTAAACCAAATCTATATGCAGTACATAGTTTACAACATGTTATGGAAGTACAACGTATGTATTTCGATATTATTAAAAAAATATAAATTAAATTTTCATCTTTTTGTTTTTGTTTTTTTTTTCAAGGTGAATTTTGGCCGTCAATTGTACAATATAAACATCTAATTTCCATGTCTCATGAACAAGCCATTACTTCGTGATTTGATATTTTTTCATCGTTAATGCACGCTACACATGATTTCATCATATTGATGTTGCTGCTAATAACGATGATTATGTACAAAAATAATTTATTTTCTTCTTTTGTTCTATTAACGCGTTTTGTCAATTATCTCATGATGTTTTCACCGGTAAACATGTGACTTATATATTCTTTTCTCGTTTATTTTGTCGTCTGTTTTGTTTTTACCTATGTATATTTAAGGAAATTCTTTTTAATAACTGCTAAGCAGTTCCTTAATTATTTCAATATATCTTTTAAAAATATTCATAACAAAAAAAAAAAAAAACAACAACTCCCGAACAGTGGCCAGATTGTCCTCATCTTCCTTTCAATTATTGCTTGTTTTTCTTCGTTTTATTTTTTATTTTCAAGCTGATATATTTTTTTGTCTCTTATTGTTTTTTCTTCTTCTAAGTTTTTCAGTGTCGCTCAATTTTCATTGCATAAATCATGTAATTGTGTCTTGTGCATGTACACATGCTTCCACAATTGCATTGTAATAATGAAATACAAACACAACAGAAACTTTTCAATCATTATTGCTATGATGTTTTCTTTTTTGATCTTTTCATAACATCAAATATTTATTCTTTCTTTTATTAGTTAACCTCTACCTGTAAGGAGAACTAAAATTTTTGAACTATGCGTACATAGTTCAATTTAATTTTCATATGGATTTAATTAAGTGAAAAGTTGATTGTCTAAAGCATATTTTAATTATCACTTTTACTTTAGAAAATTAATAAATATTTAATTAAAAAAAATATAGGAAGTGAAACGGAAAAATATCGATACGCTTTTTTTTTTAAATTTAGATTTTGAATAATAAAGCATTATTTTCTATGGTGATGTTATAAAAATAAAACATGAAAATGTTCGATTCTGCTTCTTTTAAACAACTAATCTTTTCTTTAATAGTTTCTCATTAGGCTACTATTATTGACACTATTTTTATACTAAGATAAACTAAAACAATTTTCAAGATAAATAATAGCGCTATTCAAAATATAAAATAGTTATACAGAGAGTAAAAAAAAAAAAACTTATGAAAATGTCGCTATTAATAGTAGTAATGTTTCTTTGACTTCGAATCCATGATTGTATAAAGAAACAGAAAGCATTGAATCTACGTATATAATTATTTGTGCAATAGACATTGATTCGGTTCAGATCATTTCGCAATTTCAATCAAAATAAACTGTAAAATAAATTTGTGAAATTCTATTAAAAATAACTGAAACTACGCAACTTATATTTCAATTTGTTTATCGTGTTTTAAACAGTTGCTATTTAAAATCTTTCTTCTATAATAGAAGACGCTGCGTAATAGAAAATCTCATCAAAATAGAAGTTCTTCCAGAAGAAACTATACCTCGAGCATAATATAACACCATTCATCAATTTTTTAATTAAATAAGATATTGTGACTTTGATTAATATATTCATTAGGATAAGATGTCTAGCTTTCAAGGGTTGCACCTCAAAGCCAACGAAGACTGAATCTCAAATGATTTCTACGACTTTTAAATCTTGAAAAATCTTTTGAAATTCTTCGTACTAGCCATCATCTTCGAATGATTCATGTTAATTATTAATAGTTGAAAACGAAGAATCTAATAGAAGGACTCCTGGAACTTTCATACGCTTGGGCATAATAAGAAAAACGATTTCTTCTATTATCGAGGTGTAAGATATATTGTACTATATATAGTAATACATGTTTTTTAAGGTCTTATTATTTTCTTTGACCTAATTTATGTTAATAAAGTATAAGCGCTGACATTGTATTGAATTTCATTTAATTGATCATTGCGTAGATGCTTTTTTTCACAGGAGAAGACACAAGAAGTTTGGTCACGTATTATTTTCCATAGACAAAGAAAGACGAGAAGAAATATGAACAATATCATTTCTACTTATGACGTTTTATTTTTAATCATTCTTTTTACTTTAGATATGTGTATATATTAATCTAAATTACATCGATGTAGTTCTGAACTGGATTGCACTCATCTTGATTGAGTTGTCTATATGCTTTTTATTATGTTACTTTTCCGTCGTAAATGCTGTTTATCGATTATGATGAAACATAGTATTAGAAAAAAAATCGCCGATAAAAGAAACATTAATTCTTTAGTCTGTAATTAATAGTTATTAAGCATTGTGTTCATCTAAAATATATATTTCTATCTAAGTAATTTTTAAAATAAACAAATTTATATAGCGTTTTATGGCTCAACAAACAGTACAAAGACTATCCTATACATAATTGCAGTTCAAACTGATGAACTTAATTCTATTTGCGGAAATTCTTCTACCCAAACAATAATTATGGACATAATCAGAAACTGAATCTGTTATTTAACTATAACCGTTCAATAAACTGTTGAATTGTACTAGTTTGAATGCTTCAAGTAGGCGTTTTTTCAATGCAATAATTAGTGAAATTAGAAAACTATTCTAAGTATTTTCTGTATAACTTAATTTATTTCCGTCTGTCGTAGGACGTCAAACGACAAGAAAATCTGATATCAAAGATTTCAAAAAGGTTTCCTTTTCTATATGTATGAATATAATTACGATCTATTTTTGCCGTAGAAGTAATGTACCCAGTATGAATCTTTATTATTAGTCTAATTTTATTTCATCTCAATTCTATTGTAGATTATTACACCTAAACTTCAATAAGATTCATTTAACATAGTTATTGGGTTTCTTCAGTTAAAAAAAGACATATTCACATTGTAGAAAAAAATATAATAAGATTTCTAATAAAAAAAAACCCCGATTTAGGAGAAGATATCATCTGAATAAATTAAAATTTGCTTGAGATGTAGTATGTCATTGAAGTGTTAAATTCCAGTGGTAGATTTATAGAGTCACATGAGATTTGCTGGAATATAAGTCAAAAATAATTAGAATGCAATGGATAGAAGCTCATAAAGGGTATTTTTTGGACGATAGTCAGTTCCCTCTTGATTTTATGGCTCACTTGATGTCGAATTTCCTGGGGGATTGTTTAATAGCAAACTACAACTATTTTTGAAATTTCTGAAAGATTCAGAATCATTTTAGTTCAAAATATTATTATTCAGTGCTCAACTAAAAACAAACGAATTCTAAATAGAAAGGAGATATGTGTAAATTTCTTCATACAAAAATATTTCTCGAACCGAAAACTATGTCAATCTAATGCTCACTGATATTTCATCTTTGGTATACATTTCAGTTTGAAAGATCGAGCTATTGCTAAGTAATGATGTAATTATTATTGATCCAATTGTTTTCTCCATGTCTCGAGAAAGAAAATAATCAACATGAACTTTTCATTAGAGTTTAGAAGTAGATTTTGTTGAATAAGGCAAGTTAAACTTTATTTAGACATTATTTTTGCATGTTTGTTTGATATTCTACAGATTTCTATGAGAAAAAGTAAGGCCTAAATTAAAATTACTAATATATTTGAAACCAGTAAATAAAATCTAAGTCGACTTTTATGTGTTTCGAAGTTTTTGTCAACGTCTGTTTTCGTTGAAAAACTCGATTGCACTTTCATACCAGGGTACTCTCAAAATTTGAATTCATTTAGAACATTATTATTATTATTTGCTCATGTTCGATTGTCTGTTACTAACTTTTTGCAAACACAGAATGTATTTTGCACTGCGCAAGTAATTCAATGTGACTTATGAATCCTATTGGAAAAGACTCAACCAATTACTGTCAAATACGTTAAACGGATATTATCGGATCCTCATAGATTTTACACATGAAAGGAATCAAAAGATACTGGCTTCGACAAAAGATCTAGTCGAATTTCTGAATTGAATGACCCCGAAAAAGATTCGGTCAGATCCTTTCGAATTCGATAGTTAGGTTGTATCGAATGCAACTGAATATTTTCCTAAAGAAATTCCAAATGTATCAGATTCTACAGATGTCTAGTAGGATTTCACTAAAGTCCGACATACTAAACTCAAAGCATAATTATGTCGGAAGATATCCCACCTGGAACGGATGTAGGTGTGGATGTGACTGAAAAGAGAGTCCACATCCACATCCATATCAGACTTGGAACCGGTCGAGTTTTTTCTGACCGGACCGGACCGACCGGTTTGACATTTTCACCCGGACCGGACCGGCCGGTTTATATTTGCGATTAGACCGGGTAAAAAACCGGCAAAAAACCGGCCGGTTTATATTTGCGATTAGACCGGTAAAAAACCGGCCGGTTTTATGGTATAATTTGACTGGTAAAAAACCAGATGTATGTATCTTTTAAGATATGTATTTTATTCGTAACAACCTGACGATGAATGACGTGTCCTTCGAAACGTCATGAAATAGATAAATTGAATAAAAAAGCAAAGAGTAGAATAATTCTCAGATATATATTATGTCCTTCCTAACAATCACAAAATAAGAAAAATTATATCTAAACAATAAGAAACGATACACTAGCCATCTCTCATCTAGCAAAGAAAAACAATAAATACATCAAAAGAGAATNCACCTTATCAAATTGTAACATTATTCCACTTCCCTTGAAGAACACTTTATCTACTGCTTAAAATCCAAATGGTCAATCTACTTGTTGTATTTATTTTTGATATAAGAGATTGTTTAGCAATGAAAATGATATTCTTCGAAGAAATGAGATATGCAAAGCAACTATCTGCAATGAGCACAATTAATAAACGAAGAATGATAACAGGCAGAGATATGGCATACATGAGGATCAAAATCAAAACAGACATCTTTCATGGTTAGAAAATCGCCGGGATGTTTGTCTGTATAACCAGCGACAAACCAAGAGAAAAGAATCATCTTTGTGAAAACGATAGCAGATAGCTGATTGTGTATCAATGAATTTAGTTTTATGATATTGTTCCTTTCCGATAGGTTGATAGGTACTTGATCAAGTTGAATTCGATCGAAGAGACGACGGATGAAATATTTTCATTGGCGATGATGGGG